ACAATATTTTTTACAATTAAACAAAAGTCTCATTCAAATTCAATACTATATTGCTTTGTCAAAATGTTCGTCACCACTGAAATTGTACAGCTGTATGTCATTTAATATTTTCAACTGTATTATACATCTATACACCAGTTCAGTCCAGTCAAAACTGTAACTATCAGTATAAAATTAATTAAAATTCAACAACATTACTTCGTAGTAAAGCGAAGATGAGCTGAGGTCAGTAAGGCAAAGGTGGATTGAAATAATCACACACACACACATTATTATATATAGTTAATCGTTAACAACAATAAATGTTGCAACAAAACTCCATTCTCACAAATATCATAAAAATGTGTCGAGGACCGTAAAACTCAACCAGCCGGTTATCAAATACCAATATGCAAAACGTTTAAGCGACCGAAAGAAGATTTTAATATAAATTATTCACCGCGTGTATGTCATAGTTTTTAAGCGCCAAACTCATGGGAAAGGAACAGACAAAATACGAGGCGGTTTAAACCTGACGGGCAACCGCAGTCCACACGATTTTCCTGCCACCAAATACACACAAGGGCTGGCTCTCTCGGCTCTTAATATACTCATACGCCATCCGTAACGTATAGTATGATCCAGGATCTTTATACTCATTGTCTATACACGGAAATTGGCCATATATCTTTGTCCCCTTTAATATAAATGTCGTTTATATAATGCACAATATTAAAAAAAAAGTGTAAATATTTTGGCTTGGAAATAAAGAGTTGTTGATTATGGGATGGGTGGCGGGATTGTTCCACGCGATACGAACTTTAGGACTCATTCTCGTGCCGAATACTGAAGCCATCTACCCACTCAAGCTCACTCACACATTCCTTACAGACTAAAGAGCCACGGGGCGCCAGACCAGGCGAATGCGGCAACCTTTGCTTTCGACCCAATTTGGTAAATTGAGAGAGAGAGAGAGAGAGAGAGAGAGAGAGAGAGAGAGAGAGAGAGAGAGAGAGAGAGAGAGAGAGAGAGAGAGTAGACTAATCTATTATGTAGACTCTAGGAGAAAGTAAATGCAAGCATTAATGGGGAATTCAAGATTAAGACGGACGGCTAACAAGTGGTAAGAGCGGAAGTAATCTCATATTGGAGAGACTAGCAAATAGTGAGGTAACAACTGAGCAGCCAGGTAGATACTCTAGAGCCTGGTGGATACACTAGATAAGATGACGCTGTAGGACTAGATAATATACCACCATGGATTTTGAGAAGCTGATGCACATACCCTCAGTATACCTCTAGCATTAATCTTTAATGATTTATTGGTGAAGGGAAAGTTGCCCAGCAGTTGAATGACTGAATATGGCACCTGACAGCTGGCCTATCAGCTGCCCATCTGACAGCTGGGTGGACAGCGCTACAGCCCCCGCTCCTGGCACAGGAGCGGGGCTGTAGCTTTGGCCATAAGACCCTTTCTATTCCTTATATATGTCTCATCTAACCACGTAGGTAGAGTTCTACACATTAGAGGTAAAATAGACCTCGAAAGAAGCTATAAAGTTTGTCTGGAATTAACAACCGATAAATGTAAAGCGATGAAAAGGGGAATGTGTGTGTGCATTTGTCCTGCTAAATTTTCCAGTCTTTCCTGTTGACAAAATCCAAAATATTTGTTTTTGTTTTTTTCTCTCTCCAATTCTCCCATTCAATTGTCCTCTATAACTTAGTTTGTCTTTCTTTTACTTTTAATGGGCATTATCAGGTGTTATAACACCATGACTCTGTAATCACTTATCGTGGTGGGTTCTCATTCTCTATTGTCCAGTCAGCATTGCGCGGGGGGGGGGGGGGGGGGGGTTGAGGCACACGTGTAGTGAAGATGCACGCTACTGGTGAGCATATTAAATGTGTATATAACGCATACAACACTGAGTAGGGAGGGGGGGTATACCTGGGATGAACGACCCACCCAGGAAGGCCCGCATACTCTAAAGTATATTTAATTCATACACACACATACAAACATGCATATAATATTTAACGTATAAACTTAAGAGAAATTTCGAATTCGTTCTCTAAGATCTTTTGTATATTAGCTTTGGTGGGAATTTTCAAGTCTTCGAGATGTATAAAAAGAAATAAAAATACGACTCTCCCCCCCCCCCCCCAACCCCAGCAAAAAAATTTCTTTATGTGGGAGTAAATTTCCTAACGTAAATAACATCAAAGTGAACAAATTTGCATAAAAGAATTGTGTGCTTAAGCTGTAGTGTCTGGCGCGCTGTCAACGACATTTTTGAGCCCTGTTCCTTCGCCCCGGTGCCACCCACTGTAGCAAATTGCCACCTCACCCCCACCCCCACGCCACATCCCCTCCCATCCTACCCCACCTGTTGTGAAACTGCCACCAACTGTAGCGGAATTCTGCCCACTGCGCGAAGGTATTTTTCCTGTGTTAGGCTATGAAGGGAGCTGCGGCTTCCTGAGAGGACTTTGTACACTGTTGCTCCGGGCTGGCGTCGCGGTGGAGTGCACAAACTCGTATTTTTTTTAGAGCACAAACTCTTTTTTTTCACTCTTACGCTGCTAGAGAGCGTGAGATTCAACGCTCCATTGAGGAAAATTGGCTCCATAATCTCTTCAAGCTTTTGACTGTAGGATTTTTAGAATGTAGATAGATTCTTAATTCAATTGGGGCCAACCATTATTTTTTTCTTTTGAGAAACTAAAATTAAAAAATGCGCTCTCAGTCTCCTCATAGTTTTGATAGAAATGCTAGGGATATATTTACCAAGCAGCCCTGGAGCTGGCAGGGCGAGAACGTTGCTCCAACATCCTGACAAGGAAAAACTACTCGACTGTCGCGTTCACGTATATTTTAATATTCAAGTGTCACTCCTTCCACGAGGCCGTTTTCTGCCTCCACCATCCTTGCCTGTCGCGCCCCGCCCTCTCTCCTTCCCTCTCTCCTTCTCCCTTCCTCCCTCCCTCTCCCTGACTTCTCCTTCCCCTCTCTGTATACCGGACTATCCCTCCCTCCCTCTTTATTTCTGTTTTTCAACCCCATTTTACCTTCCCCTTTCTATTTACACCTGACTTTCCACCCACTCCCTATTTGCTCTAAAGAAAACGGTGAAAGTGTAAACCCATGACAAACTAGAACATTAAAACTTTTTCGAGACAATAGTCCGATGCTCTCAGCAAAACAAACAAGACTGGAATAAGCAAGAGAATCCACGGAGTGTGTTTTAGGAGCAGCTGAACAATGAGACCCGTAACAGCTACTAACAACAGCCGACTGATTAGCTGAGAGAGAGCAAGACCGAGAAAAAGCGAGAGAGAGCAAGAGAGAACGAGACGGAGAGAGAGGGAGAGCGAGTGAGAGCAAGCAAGAGAGCGAGCAAGAGATAGAGAGCGAATGAGAAAGAGCGAGAGAGCAAGAGAGAGAGAGAGAGCAAGAGAGCAGGTGAGAGAGAGCAAGAGAGCAAGCGAGAGAAAGAGAGCGAGCGAGCGCAGCTGTAGGCCAAGATGTCACTGTCAGAATAACATCCAACTACGCCGGATAGTTCCACAAAGAAAAAATAATTATCACACCGCCGGAGGATCTCTGGTATTCAGGTCAAACACGAGAGGAGTAAACAGTGATTGTTTGTTGGGTAAACTCTTCCTCTGCCCGTCGACAAATACACCTGGTGCTGCTTGCTACTCCACTCTCACCATCATCTGGATAATGCAATCATCACTATCTTCACAGACATGATGGTTGTATATCTCTTTAGTGTGATTGTGTGATTTATCCTGTATGATTGTATGTTTTTTTTTTTTTTTTTTTTTTTTTGAGATATATACAAGAGTTGTTACATTCTTGTACAGCCACTAGTACGCGTAGCGTTTCGGGCAAGTCCTTAATCCTATGGTCCCTGGAATACGATCCCCGGCCGCGAAGAATCGTTTTTTCATCCAAGTACACATTTTACTGTTGCGTTAAACAGAGGCTACAGTTAAGGAATTGCGCCCAGTAAATCCTCCCCGGCCAGGATACGAACCCATGACATAGCGCTCGCGGAACGCCAGGCGAGTGTCTTACCACTACACCACGGAGACTGTTTCATTCTGTGCAGTGTCTAATCCAGCTTTTTGATTGGTAAATCCAGTTAAAGATGCTACTATGAATGGTTGTATGCCTTTATTTAACATAAGGTTGAAAATGGTGTGACATGGCCAGGCGTTTATGGCAAGTGTGTGAAGATCATAGTAACGAGGTTGGAACCAATAACTAAGCTGACACATTAGAAACAAGAAAATGTGACATTTCGATCCAAACTAAACCCTTTACTAAATATAAATATATAAAGCTGAAGCCGATTGTCGACTTGAGAATGGTCCAGGACGGACCGAAACGTCGTCGTCGTCGTCGTCCCTTCACCTTCTAGTGTGAGGTCTGGTCAACATAAAGCTGAAGTCTTTGTTCGAAACTGTTTCTAGGGATACTTACATTTCCTATTCTAAAATAATATTTTTACTAGCAAGATTTTTTTTGGTGTGGGGGGGGGGAAGAGGAAGGGGGCGCAGAGGTCTATAATAATTCTTAAAGAGGCATATGAATATGCGTTTGGGTGTAAAAAATATGCGGATAGTTTGGTGCTTTTGTGGGTATGTTTGCTGTAGCTGTGACACGTAGTTCGGTGCACAGCCACAGCAAACTAGTCCTTGACCATGACCATGTCGTAGCTCAGTCGATTAAGGCAGCGTCTGGGATGCTCTCAGACGTCGGTTCGAATCCTCGTCACGACCCTTGTGGATTAGTTTAAACTAGTCCTAGCTTTGTTAGCCTCTGGGCCGTGTTGGGCATCGTGGGAGCCTTGTAGAGGAAGGTCCTTGCTGACCATTGAGGGCAATTCTACGACTTTTTTGAGGCATTTGTCATTGATGTAGCTTATGCAAGTTGCTGCTGTGGCAGTAGGGCTCTGAACTATACAAGCGTGTGTCCTCTAACCTTGTCTCTCTCTCTCCCTCCTCAGGCCGGCGTGTGGGAGTACCGTGTAGAGAACAGGGCCGACAGCCACCAGAGCCTCTACATGCGGGTGTTGGCGACGCCTCGCGCCTACAACGCCTCCAGCGCCACCAACACGGACGCCATCACCCTCACCGCCTGGACCTCCAACACCGCCTCTCCCATCAACGTCTCCGATGTGGAAAATCCAGTAGTGGTGTACGCGCAGGTAAGATACAGCAATCAAATTTTAACTAACTTAAGAAAAGATCCATTGTCGGCAACGGAAGATAAACGATTTTACTTCTAAATGATGAATAAGCGATCAGGGACCACTCATGAGGGTAAAGTTTCCAGAACCTGTACACCAGTTGATTGACAGTTGAGAGACGGGACGAAAGAGCTGAAGCTCAACTCCCGCAAACACGTCAATGTGAGTACGTTTCTGGGGGCTGAGAAAGCAGGTGAATCTCAACGCCCACAAGCACTTGGCGAGTACCTGGGTTTACATTCTAAGCTGCATAGACAAGCAGCGCTGCCAGGAAGAGTATTTGAAGATTCTTCTCCCTCGTATAACACTTAAGACGTCAACAACACAAACCACTGTAGCAACGCATCGTCTGCTCAGGTACAGTAGTTTTACACCCACAGAATGTAATGTTTTAATGTCAATTTCAGTTTGGTCGACATTCTTGGACATTCTTCCCCCTTGTTGGTCTATGACTATCTAACATTACACGGAACTATAAGAGGGAGAACAATCCAAATTGAAGTTATGTTCAGTGTGCTTAAAGATCAGTGTTCTAACAGACATGGCCAATCGACTCTCTTTGGCTAACACGCGCCATTGTCATCACCATTATCCACTCACCAACAATGTTGTTGTTGTTATAGATTCAACTACTCGGAACAAGTGCCAAGTAGCACGGGCTATGGTGAACCCGTAACTTACCTGGCACAGGAGCGGGGCAAGTAGCACGGGCTATGGTGAGTCCGTAACTTACCTGGCACAGGAGCGGGGCAAGTAGCACGGGCTATGGTGAGCCCGTAACTTACCTGGCACAGGAGCGGGGCAAGTAGCACGGGCTATGGTGAGCCCGTAACTTACCTGGCACAGGAGCGGGGCAAGTAGCACGGGCTATGGTGAGCCCGTAACTTACCCACCAACAAGAAAACCATTCACTATATAGTAGGAAATTGGTGGCTATCCTAAGTTACCCGTACTGGCTACCACTATACTCTAACCACCCCACTAGACGTCAGGCTGCGAGCAGCCGCGTCTAATAGCCTGGTTGATCAGTCCAGCAACCAGGAGGCCTGGTCGACGACCGGGCCGCGGGGACACTAAGCCCCGGAAGCACCTCAAGGTAAGGTAACCCCTTTACCACACCCTGACGAGCCTTTGTAGCCCCCAGATACAGCCAACAAGCAATTAACCATTTGTCGTTGACCTAACACCGACCAGCCATTGACTCGCCACTAATTGACCACCAAACAACAACAACAAACAACCACCCACCCATCCACCACACTGCAGGCGATGAACCATCTACTCAAACTACAAGTATGTTGTTGTTGTTATAGATTCAGCTACTCGGAACAAGTCCCAAGTAGCACGGGCTATGGTGAGCCCGTAGTGGACTTACCTGACACAGGAGCGGTGCTGTGTAGACTGTGTGACTACAAGTAATTAACCAATCCTTAAATATAAAACAATTAAGCATCCAACCACTTAACCCCTCCTTCTCCCCCCCCCCGTGTCCAACCACTTGGGCTGGACGGTAGAGCGACGGTCTCGCTTCATGCAGGTCGGCGTTCAATTCCCAACCGTCCAAATGTTTGGGCACCATTCCTGTCCCCCCGTCCCATCCCAAATCCTGACCCCCTTCCAAGAGCTATATAGTCGTAAGGGCTTGGCGCTTACCCCTGATAGTTCCCTTCCCTTCCGCCCCCCCCCCACACCCGCCTTTGGCACAGCAAAAGGGAGGGGGGGAGAGGAGAGGGGGGGGGGGGGAATGTCGACTCCAACTCTGCGGTATCACCCCCCCTCTTCCTCACTTTCCATTTAACTTCTATAAACAACTTTTCCCTCGGGTGAATCTCCGGATATCGGACCTGAATCTAATTTTACTATTATAAGTTCGACAATGCAACATTCTCTGTAGGATATCGTATCACGAAGGAATCGCTGCCTTGATCTAAAGAATTAATAGTTCAATAAAGTGCATATGATCTCTATTTGCGGCAATAAATGCCAAGGTTTACCATTCAATAAAATCTTCTCGAGCCGAAGCACACAGATGCTTATGCAGGCAGTAGAGAGAGAGAGAGAGAGAGAGAGAGAGAGAGAGAGAGAGAGAGAGAGAGAGAGAGAGAGAGAGAGAGAGAGAGAGAGAGAGAGAGAGAGAGAGAGAGCGAGCGCGATCGAGAGAGCAAGAGAGAGAGAGAGAGAGAGAGCGAGAGAAGGTGGCTGTTCCAGTTGGCTTTTGATCATGTCGAGGGCTTTGCGTTGAGGTTTTCCTAATGTTTGAATGTGTCTGTCAACTCAGACCCTCAAAGCCGTATAGAGCGTATTTTCACTGGACTCTGGAGGGAGTGGGATAGGGAGGCGGCAGGATAGAAGGGGTAGGGAGTATGCGTAGTAGCGAACATCTTTGTGAACACCCCCCATCAAAGGTCAGTTTTCTTGTTATCCCAGTCGACCCATAGCGAGAAAAATATTATGCCTTCACAACTGCCGGTGTTTTCTGCCTCACTACCACCACTCAAAAGGATTTTTTGCCCGTGTGCTTAAATAGCAGGGGGACGAGATGGCACGAATTTTAACAACAACATCGACGATGAAAGTCCATGAAAACAACCGGAGGCTGCCTGACACAACGGGTTTGTCCATGGCGTGTGATGGCCTTGTGGTCCACTGTTAACAGGAGCCCCAGGAAGGGGGCGTGTTAACAACAGCCCCAGGAAGGGGGAGGAGGTGTTAACAGGAGCCCCAGGAAGGGGCGTGTTAACAACAGCCCCAGGAAGGGGCGTGTTAACAACAGCCCCAGGAAGGGGGAGGACGTGTTAACAGGAGCCCCAGGAAGGGGGCGTGTTAACAACAGCCCCAGGAAGGGAGGTGTTAACAACAGCCCCAGGAAGGGGGCGTGTTAACAACAGCCCCAGGAAGGGGGCGTGTTAACAACAGCCCCAGGAAGGGGGAGGAGGTGTTAACAGGAGCCCCAGGAAGGGGGCGTGTTAACAACAGCCCCAGGAAGGGGGAGGAGGTGTTAACAGGAGCCCCAGGAAGGGGCGTGTTAACAACAGCCCCAGGAAGGGGCGTGTTAACAACAGCCCCAGGAAGGGGGAGGAGGTGTTAACAGGAGCCCCAGGAAGGGGGCGTGTTAACAACAGCCCCAGGAAGGGGGCGTGTTAACAACAGCCCCAGGAAGGGGCATCTTAGCAAGCACGGATGTGCGTACCAAGATGAAGGTGGACTGCTGCCTGAGGCACGGGAAAGCGCTTACGTAAAGACACGGTCAAGAGCACTAGTTAAAACACGAATGGTAATCAAGCAGCCTAAAGAAACGTTCTTCAGTAGCAACATTATGTGAAATGTTTTTTTTTCCCCATCAAGCACTCATTCTTCTCATCACCACCACCAACAACAACAACGTATCGTCGTCCCAGTAAGGGACCGATGAACAGTTTTCTATAACTTTCTCCCAATGTTTATTTTTGATTCTGAAACTTGCTACAAAGGTTCAGATCCTGTTTGTGTGTAATTACAACTGTGAGGTCGACACGGAGACTGAAGGTGGGTCGCTTGAGACGCGCTTAGAACGTCTGAGAGACGGAGTTGGTAAAAAGAAAATGTATTATGAGTTTTTAAACGAGAGAAAGTTGTTTTTATGTTGATGCCATTGATATTTAATATCCCGATCGTCTAACGCGGAAATATAAAAGTTAATTTTACAGATACTCCAACACGAGGAATCTGACAAATCCAAGTTCTTTGGCGGGGTTACCAAGGGGGTGAACTGTCAAGTGGGCGGGTTGTCAGGGCCCCCGCGGCGTTGTCAGGGCCCCCGCGGCGTTGTCAAGGGCCCCCGACGGTAGCTACCCTCTGTACCGTTTTCGCGTAGAGTGTATATTTCTTAAGGTGAAAGGAGTAGTTAGTATCCTTCCCGGTAATGCCCTCGTTGTAGCCCCTATTAAGCGATAATGGCGGGTGTCAGAAGGTGAATGTGGATGGGTAGAAACGTGTGTATAAAAGTGGGTATATACGCCAACTATACAAATAGATGCGTATGGGTAAAGCCCATACAGTTACTGACGCCAATAAGTGGCTCTTGGGGCAAAAATGGGGGCATAGTGTGTCAAGGGAAGATTTTATGAGATTAGACCATCTTGTGAGCTATATACTTCTTTATTATGAGTCAAGATATATAGATATATATAGATATATATATATTATATATATATATATATATATATATATCTTTACTCAAATGATAAAGATTCATACATGTGCATTAGAGAGATTATGGAGTATAGAAAGTCCTTACATTCCTGACCCAACGTCACATAAAGGATACCTTCAATAATTCTCCCGTTATTATACCCTCATTATCGTCGACTTGAAACGAGAAAATAGATGCCCATCAGCGGTTCGTGTGACAGGGAAGCTGGCGCTTGTGTGGGAGGGCAACAGGAGGCTGGCACTCGCATAAGGGAGAGGATGAGACACGAAGGTTGGCACTTGTTAAGAAAGGCAGTCGTAAGAGACAGGCAGGCAGCGACACGGCCCCTATGAAGGGCGCGGGGTGGGTCGGCCAACAACAAGACAATATACATGGTCTCTGATGTCGAGGTACCATTATGCAAGACGCAATAAAACTTACTCCGGTGAGCGCACGGGTTCCACAATGTGAACCGAGGTTCAGTAAATGTAATTTCCCTGCTAAACCTCTGAATATATGACACTATAAACCGCCATATATCGCACTGGTGACTAATATAGTATGTGCCGTCCAGTGAGGCGCAACGGAAGGGCAATCGCTTAACTGTTAATTCTTCAGCACTCGCCAACACGGGGCTTCTGTCACTAAAAGTGTTTCTAAACTTTATTTATGCAAGGTTCCATTCGGGTTTCATTAAAAAATATATATATAATAATACTCTGCTCCTTATTTCTTCGGCCGGTGAGCACATTCTTAACATTCCTACAAGAGAACAAAGGCATTCAAT